CGTAATTAGTCTATATTTAATACTCCATGCATGTGTCCAAACATTCGATGTGACAGGAATTTTAGGAGGAGGGGAAGAAACCAAACAGGCTCTTATTCTGTTAGATGTGCTTGCCTGACCAAAGAATATAATATTTGATAATGCAGCTATATATCTACTATATAAATTGTCCAATTCTTTCGTATCGCGTGGTGTCCCTAAATAATTGCAAATCTATATTTTTATCAGCCGACGGTGTCTATGAAAAGTATTAGTTGCATTAGGCTTCTTTTCCTGTCGAAATACTTGCCCCTCGAAATACTTGCCCCTGTGCCGACCCCATCGAAGGCTTCGATGATCTCGCTGATTACTAGGAGTGCCATTGTATTGGGCATTATTGTGGTATACTGGTATAGCAGTAGACAATTAACAAAAAGCTACCACTTTAGAATTATTTTAGGCATAGATGCACAGGAAGATATGAGGCGCATCTGTGGTACAACAGTTGCAGAAGGGAAGAACAAACTTGCAAGGGTCGTCAAGGTTGTTATTTTAAATATGTATATTTTTTTATAAATTTAATCTTTCCACAATGTTGTTATCTATTTACTGACATTACGTTGCTTTTATCATTTTTTGGATTCGTTGTGATGATTTGCTGGATTGAAATCAATTCTTGAATCTACAGTCTATTTAGATACGCAATTTCACTTGATTTGGATCCAACTACTTAATTTAGTTTGTTTCTTTTTCCCTATATAAACATCCTTTTTTATCTCTACTTGGGCACCTTTAGTAAGCAGCAGAAATTTTTATGAAATAAATGGCTGAAGGGGCAACAACAATTTACCTAATATGTGTCACTGTTAGTTTCATGATTTAGTTTTTGAAAGAAGTGCAGGTTCATCATCAAGGTACAGTTGCTTTAAGTTTTTCTGTTATTTAGTTCATAGATGGTTATGGAATGTCCTTATTTTGTCTTCTTACTATAGGGTGTTGCTTAGTGTGTGGGCTATATATATTTGTATCACATCTGTGTGAAATCTCTAAATAATGAAAATAGTCTCATTTGCTGTTGAAATAAAATTAGTGGAACTTTTCAGTCTCCTATTTCATATTAAATTGGTGCATGACAACGTAGATTGCCTGGTTCGAACATTGTATAACTCGTGGAAGAGGTAATACTGCTAGGACGGCTATGGATCATGGCGTTGGTGGTGCCGGAAATGGATGTGGACGAGCTGCACCTCCTACTCCGGCACTGGAGGGAATCAACCGAGGTATGGAGATGGGTTTGGTGGTCCATCATTGTTGCGTGAGTAGTTCTCTATGAATTCTGGATTGTAACAAATTTTGGTCTGCTTCTGTTTATTTGCAGATGAGGGGGGCAGCCGTCCTGGCTGCCAAGCATGCTGAAGCAATGGCTCGGCAAGGCACTGCTATATGGAATCAGCACCTTGTTGGTCGCAGCCGGCACTGGCCGACACCCCCGGCCGACCAACGATGTATAAGTCTTGGGTAGATATTTTCCTGTATATGATATAGCTTTCTGTTCTACTCAGTTAACTCTTGTGGTCTACGAGAATGATAACTTCAGGTAGTTTTGGATGTGGGTTGCGGCACTGGTGTTCTTTCGATATTTTGTGCTTTTGCTGGTGCCACTCGTGTAAGATTTTAGTTATTAGTTGCACACTTTACATTTCTGATGATCTTATCAATGTAGAAAAACTGATGATTTTTTAATCCCGCACTCTATAGATGCTACTATATTCCTCGAATATGTGGAGGCGCAGATCATTCACCATTACAGTCTGCACTGCATCTTTATCATCAAGCAAGTAGGTAAGTTTCACGTTTTAGACTTTCTGAACTTTCACTTTCTGCTACCGTGACTTTCTTTAGATAATCATTTCTTGCTTGTCTTTAGTTATCTTATTTTATTGTTTGTTTAGTTCAAGCTTGCATAGAGTTTAAATTAATTTATTTAGCTACAGCCTTCGTCAGATTAGTTAACAATAATGTGGTTAGTAGAAGTTTGTGCAGGTTGAGACCTTATAAACAGTCACTGAGTTCCTATATCTGCAGCTTAATTAGAAAAATATAGGTGCGAAGCGATATTCAACAAGCCATAAAAGATCTTGTCTACTTGCACACAATTTATCAAAAGTTTTTTATTTGTTTATAGGCCTACGCAATCGTCTGCTTGTTGACGAAGCCAGACGTCGCCGAGTTCAAAAATTTACTAAGGACACCGTGTCGCGTCTCATAGATTTAGATAACTAAATAATATTGAAATTATTTACATGCTTGTGACATGCACTTTGAATAGATGATGGACATGGATTTAGTTTAATATAATAGTCATTTTGTGCATTTTCATTGGTCAAACATGTTCAAAATATGTGGATTGAGCAATGTTTGTCTGATATATTTGATTGCTTCATTTAGTTTGTAATTTCAGAGACTTCTTGCCGATATAAAATATTATTTTAGCCGTATCACAGAAAGATCTATATAGTAGAGTTTATAAGCCTGCGGTGCCGTGCTCTTAGTGACTGTTAATTTCACAAACTTTATTTTTGGATTAAATGTCAGTTTAATGTCTTATAGTATTGTTATCTTATCGTGCGATCCGTATGTTTTTAATACAAAAGTTTAGTTGTTTCGTAGCAACGTACGGACACGCTACCTAGGCCCTGTTCGGCTTACCCATATTCGACTTGTTCGGTTTTTTTTTTCAATCAAAATAGTATTTTTCTTTCACAACAATTCAGGCAGAACAGTGTTTTTCAGCCAGTTTAAGCCAGTTTCGTACCGGCAAACGGCCCTCGTCTCATCAGAAGCGAAAAAAAAAGACTCGATCCTATCTACCGCCTTTCTCGAGTGACGTCTCTACCCATCCACCTCAGCTTCCTTCCCCACCCGCGCAGCGCGAGCGGAGTCGCCCTCTCGAATGACGTCTCTACCCATCCTCCTCGGCCGCACCCCCTCCCCCCGGCCCCCGCGCAGCGCGAGCGGAGTTTCGCAGTACGCCGCGGCTCGCTTCGCCACTCGCCACGAATTCCTGGCGCGGGTGCGGAATTTCGCGGCGAATAGGAAGGTTTCGCTCACCGAAAAAAATGGCCTCAATCGCGCCTCCGTCCTCGGCGTCGTGCGCTCGGCGAGTCCCTCAATCCTTCCGACTTCGCTTAATTTTGCATTGAACAGGCATCAGACGATGGAGTCTCTTGCGGAAAATGCAGTTAAGGGTATATGTATATAGGAAGAAAAAAAATCTTAGGGCCGGTATGGCCGTACTCACTTCTGAACAGTAGTAACCCTAATACGAGTAATGAATTTTGGTATTGGTGAGTCAGTTATCAGGTATCCAATATAACCCTAATACGGGTATGGATTTTGATATCGGTGAGTCAGTTATCAGGTATCCAATATAAGGTACAGGTATGTTTTGTTTTAGCCTTAGTGTCTTAAGTATTCCTGTGCTGAGCTAAGAGACCTTGATCTCTAAAACAATCTTCTCTTTAGAACGAGAAGTAGACGAGTAAAGTAGGAAAGACCATGGATAAATAGCTCACTAGCTGTTTTTGTTTCTCTTACCCAATTTCACACTTGCGTGAGGGAAAATGCAATTCCCCCATTATTTACCATTTATACCAAAAAAAAACTATTTTTTTTTACTTTCAGGATGGGGGGGGGGGGGTTGTTACTCCCCACCTGATTTCATTGCTTGTTAAGTTTTTGGCCTTTTGGCTTACATGATAGGAAAGGTTCTGGGAAAGAATTTACATTTGAAATCAGCAGTGTTTACATTGCGCTTTCAATTGAGGCTTCAAAAAGCCTGCACCAGTTGTCAGCGATCGGCTTTTGTCTTCCCGGCAGCCTTGCCCGCCATAGCTTGGCTTCGGCCTTGCATGAAAGCAGAAGCTGTCATAGGGAGAGTGATTCATTTCGGAAGACAATTCCATTTCGTTGATTCCATAACTGCCAGCAGCATAGGGTGATGAGCATGCTGTGTTGCTTCGCGGGGACAGTATAGATCTTGATGGCTGTGTGTATGTCGCTAGACCGTATCCCCGTCTGCGGTAAAGAGGCCCCAATGGCGCTCCAGAATTGAGCGTCAGGACCACAATGAAAGAGCAGGTTCTCTGTAGTTTCTTCAGAATAGCTGCAGGAGGTGCAGGAAGGGCTATCGACGATGGTCTTGTTGAATAGGTTGGCCCGGCACTGAATTCTTCCCTTGAACACAAACCACATGAACAGCTGAACTCTAGGAGGCGTAGCATTATTCCAAATGAAATCTGCAGCTTGGTCAGAGGGTGCCCCTTTGGCCTTTAATAGCTTGTATATCGAAGATGCATCGAGTTTTCCTTGACCCAAGTCAAAAGGTGACAGTCTCCGATCTTGTTCTGCTGAGAGAAAGGATTGAGCAATAATCACTCTTACTTGCTGCAAATCCACTCGTGCTTGAGTAGATAACCTGTTAACGAAGGCATGTTCAAGATTTGAGAGGATGGCGTGGCGTGCCATTGCTTCCTTCTGTGTGCAGTGACTGACAGAGTGGGGAAATGATCAGCCAGTGCGTCATCTTCAGACCAAACATCCGTCCAGAAGAGAGTGGTTTCTCCATCACCAAGCTGCACTGTGGTAATAGCCTGGTATAAAGGTAGGATGGTCCGCAGAGTTTCCCACACAGATCCCCTTTTAGGTTTGCTAAGCTTGCATGCTGCCTTACCCACTGTGCCCAGGCGGAGGAGTCTACGAAGCGTAGTCAGTGTAGCAACTTAAGTAGCAGGCAGATGTTTTGAGTTCCCAAAGTCCCTGATGCCGAGCGCCCCCCCCCCCCCAAGTCCTTGGTGGTGCAGACATTCTGCCAAGCCACAAGGCATTTAGCTGAAGTTATAGCTTGAGGATCTCCTGCCCAAAGGAAAGCCCTTCATCGCTTGTCAATTTGTTGGATCACCATTGGCGGAACCTGCATTGAGGACATCGCATAGACTAGCTGAGAGTCAAGAATTGAGTTGATGAAGACAGCACGGCCCGTAGTGTTTAACGGTTTCGCCTGCCAGGAAGACAAAAACATGTCCGTTCTGTCGATGTAAGTTGAGAATGCTGATACTGGAAGTTTTGTTGAGGATAGTGGTAAGCTCAGATAGTTCTGGGGGAAAGATTTCTGTCTGCACCCAAGAACACCAATGCACTGCTGAAGCAAGTTTTCATCCAGATGGATGGGCACTACTGTGTTTTGTTGTAGTTGATTGTCAGTCCAGTTGCTGCCGCAAAATGGATTGTCGGTCCACGGAGTTCTCCCTTGATGACAATAGGCATGTCATCGGCATACTGAAGCATGGCGCAATGGGCTGAGCTATCTATCGGGTGTTTGATTTCTCGTGCATATTTCTTGATCAGAGCTTGAAGGGTGTCGGCAACAAGAAGGAATAGATATGGTGACAACGGGTCTCCCTGTCGGAGTCCCTGTTTACAAGAGATCCACGGGCCCGGGCAACCATTTACGAGCACAGCAGATCTGGAAGAAGACAGAATAGACTGAATCCAATTCCTCCACTTGACAGAGAAGCCCTGGGCTTGCAAAACAAGATCCAGCCCAACCCAAATTACTGTGTCGAAGGCCTTTGCAAAGTCTAGTTTCAGAACCAAAGCTGGCAGCTTCCTCTTCTTGCAGGTTTGTACCAATTCAGCCGCAAAAACGAATGTCTCAGAAATAGACCGCCCTTTGAGGAAGCCTGATTGGTTGAGATCAATTAGCTTTCCAATTTCTTTCTGAAGTCTTCTTGTCAGAGCCTTGGCAATAATTTTGATGCTGCAATTTTGCAAACACTGAAAGCATCTACAGCAGTGGCCTCCGGTTTCTTGGGAATAATTGCTTGTTTCATTATTAATTTTGTCCTTTTAAATTGACTCATGTAGTGGAAAACACTTTTCATGGCTAAACAACATCTATGGTCACTACAGGACTTCTAGGTTGTGTTGCGATGCTTCGCTTTTACCAAGTTCTACATCAAACAGTTTAAGGACAATCGGATCAATTTGCTTGGAAAATACCCGTCTACTCAGAAAGTTCCATATATCTCATGCTGTGGGTGGTTCATCAGAGAATGTTATTATAAATGGGAAGGCCAACCCATCTAATGCAGTTCAAGCAGATGCTGTTGCACTTGGGACCATTGCAGCTGATATGGCTCCTGTTGTTGATGGTTTTTCTGCTGATGACGATGAGCTTGACCTAGACTTCCCTACAGAGGGTTTCTCATCTATACCTGAAGCTATTGAGGACATTCGTCAAGGAAAAGTATGTCCTGATTGCCAAATTTGCATTTATTGATATTTGTGTGGTTATGCCAGTCATTCCAGTACATCTATGAATTTCTAACTGAGTTTATGTTGCAGTGTGTCATTGTTGTGGATGATGAGGATAGAGAGAATGAAGGTGATCTTATAATGGCAGCATCAAAGGTCACACCTGAGGCTATGGCTTTTATAGTGAGGCATGGCACCGGGATTGTTTGTGTCAGCATGAAAGAAGAGGATCTGGAAAGGCTACAACTTCCTCTTATGGTGACGACAAAGGAAAATGAAAAGAAACTGCGAACTGCCTTCACTGTTTCAGTGGTACGGCTTTTTCCTTTTTAGCCTTTTCTTTTTTGTAGAATAAGAACACTTGCATAAGTTTGTATTAACAAGAAAAGAGTGCAAGCTGTGCTAATTGTACTTTGGGAAGTATAAACTAAAATTATCAGGTTTTGAAAGAAAGTATTTTGCGCTTAACACCTTGATTGCATTTTGTCCTTTATCCTCCATTTCTAATTTTTGCTGCTAAACATATCTATTTTAGGATGCCAAGGAGGGAACAACAACTGGGGTTTCAGCAAATGATCGGGCAAACACAATACTGGCACTTGCGTCTCCTAATTCCAAACCTGAGGACTTCAACCGGCCAGGACATATTTTTCCTCTTAAATACAGAGAAGGTGGTGTGTTAAAAAGGGCTGGACATACTGAAGCATCGGTGGACCTTGCCATGTTAGCTGGGTTACCTCCTGTTGCAGTTCTTTGTGAAATTGTTGACGACGATGATGATGGCTCCATGGCTTTGTTACCGAAACTGCAACAATTTGCTAAGAGGGAGAACCTGAAGATAATATCAATCGCAGACCTGATAAGGTTAGCTTTGTCTTGACATATTCGAGTGGCAGTTCTTCTTTTTCAAGGACAAAACATTCTTCATTGATTTAGACAGTCTGATTATTATATATTGGATCCTAGGATCCTAACTGTTTTATGATAAATGATAAGTAAAACAGCCCATTTTATGGCCATTTCGTATATTTGTGTTAAATGTATGTTTCATTGTAGGTGTAGGCCCATATTGCGAACTTTTCTTTTCTTTTGTAAAATAAAAGCTGCAATTGATGGATGGTTGTACTTGGATGCATTTTTTTATGGTAGTCTTCTTGCATTGTAATTCTAAGCTGTGAACATTCTCATTTGCAGATATAGGAGAAAGAGAGACAGATTGGTAGAGTGTGTTTGTGTTACACCATTACAGTTACAATGGGGTTCGTTTAAATCCTGTTGCTATAGATCTCTTATTGATGGGATGGAACACATAGCCATGGTGAAGGTATGCATACCTCAGTAGTCAGTAAATGTTATGTTCAGCAGAAGGATGGCTATAGTAAATATTATGTTCAGTAGAATAATGGCTACCACTTCAAACATCAGGTTCAAAAAGTTTGAATGTTTCATGGGCAGTTTAGGAACTTTGAAAAACAAGAACCTCATTGCATGATGTAGAAAGGTAAAATCACATGCTATGGGCTGAAGGGCGTAAAAATGTTGCTCCCAAATGCACCACATTTTTTTTGCGACTAATGCACCACATTATGACAAGACATTTTGCCAGCTACATACATCCGTTAGATTGGATGAGTAAAAGATCTGAATTTTTTTTTTATCTTGCGGTGGTATCCTGGATATGGTTTGCTTGCAGACAACCAAAAACATCTCCTTTTTTTTGGAATTTAGTGATTGTCTAAATGATGAACATGGCCTAATCTTCCCCCCACCCCCAGCAATATGTTTGGAATTTTAGAATGATTCTTTTCACTCATGCAGGGTGATGTTGGGGATGGCCAGGATATCTTAGTACGAGTGCATTCTGCATTCGGAGTGCCTAACTGGGGACATATTTGGATCAGCGAGATGCGATTGTGGGAATCAACTTGCTCTGGCAATGACCATGATTGAGAAAACTGGCCGGGGTGTAGTAGTTTATCTTCGTGGCCATGAGGGTAGGGGTATTGGGCTGGGTCACAAGCTTCGAGCATACAACTTAGGGGGTGTTTGGTTTAGGCTACTAAACTTTAGGAGCTACTAAATGTTTAGTCACTTTTAGTAACTCCAGAGTTACTAGAGAGGACTAAAGCTCTTTTAGTCACATTTAGTCATAGTGTTTAGTAAAAAAATTACTAAAGCGACTAAAAGCTACTAAATTTAGGAGCTACTAGGTGAACCAAACATGTCTTTACAAGATGATGGGCGGGATACTGTCGAGGCTAACTTGGAGATAGGGCTGCCTGCTGACTCGTGGGAGTACGGTATAGGTGCACAGGTAAAGTCGTAAAGATCACTTTCATTTGAAGTGTTTTCAGATGGTTTCTTGTGGAGCTGATTAGTCTCTGTTCTCTGCAGATATTGCACGATCTTGGTGTCAGGACCATGCGGTTGATGACTAACAACCCTGCGAAGTACACAGGACTCAAGGGTTATGGTTTAAGTGTCCTTGGCAGAGTGCCATTGCTGACACCGATAACCAATGAGAATAGGCGCTACATGGAAACAAAGCGATTGAAGATGGGGCATGTTTATGGAAGCCGCTCTAGTGCTGGCGAGAGAGAGGAGCAGGATCAGAATGACAGTGCCGTCGTGCAAGATCAAACTCCAGAAGCTTGAGTGCCTAACTCTGCGTTTCTTCTGGCAGTAAATAGAATTGTCGATTCCATTGCAACTGCCCTTTTTTTTTTTTCTGATGCTGCGTTTTGGCCATATGTTCAGTTAGCATGGTTGATGCTGATGCCGGAACGGTCTAACGAGTTCGGGTCTAATATTCTCATGAAAAGCAGAGGTTAGGCTCTCTTCGACAGTTTGATGCTTTACTTTGGGACCAGTGACAGATTTAGCTGAAGGACAATTGTGTCAGTGGTGGCGTGATGTACTACTGTACTATGTTGTGTTGTGTCCTGCCGAAATGATATGTTGGATGCCTAAACAGCATTGTGTGTGAGCATTTTTTGTTATATCTTCTGCATTACATCCGGAGGACAGATTGACTGCTTGCCATAAGTGAACTGTAAGCTTTACTTTCAAAGAACTAGACACCTTATAGCTTATTTATTTTGTATATATATAAACGAGGTATTTATGGCGACTGACGAGGATCGGATGTGATTGCATTATTTGCATAATATATATAACGCATTGTTCCAGTTTCAGTATTTGAGAGTGCCAAAGTGCTGACACATGGAACATAATTCGGAGTACGTTGAGAAACAGAGCTTTGCTTCGCAGTTCACACATAAAAACGAACGCGAACGCACACGATCACAGGCTGCCACGCGCACAAAGGGCACGTGCTCTCACGCCAGCCATAGAATCGAGACCAAGTGACACACTCCAGAACAATAATACAGTCACTCAAACTACGAACTCTATCTGGACCATACGTTATCCTACTGATGAAAGGATGCTACGATAAGATTGTTCTACAACTGGAGCTTTAGTCATCGTCAAATGAGCTCATTAGCAATGTCATGTCAGATTAGATTGCCGAAGAAGATGATCGGCTCAAAGTCGGGTAGAAGACCACACTTGCATCCACAGGTACTAACAGGGCACCCGCAACAGCATAAGCTAGTTACCAGCTCTAAACCTACTTCTTCAATAGTGTTAATTTATAGCATATAGCTCATAACATGGATGGCCTCGTATAACACTCTCTAACTCACGTAATCTTAAAATATGTTATAAACTTAGCTATTGATTAAGAGCTTGTTTCTCTCTTTTCCACTAAAATATGAAAACATACTTAGAGTTAAGTTATGAGTTATCTATTGCGGTGCCCTCAGCGAGATACAGGAAATGCTATGAGTCATCCACTGCGGGTGGTCTATGCAACAGGGGATGGTCGGATGGCAAGGCCAAAACAGCAGAAAAGAAAGAGAAAAAGAGAAAAAGAAAAAGGAAACGGTCTGGTTGGTCGCCCCGTGAACGTGAAGCAGCGAAGCGTCCCGGCAAAGGCACCGGTGGCCGCGTCCAGCGCCTATCGTTTCCGGGGCCCTCTCGCCTCCTCTCCTCTCCCCCGTCCGTTCTCCTCGCACTCCTCTCGACCGCTAGCTCACCTCCCCGTCACCATATAAACCCTATCCCTCTCCGGTCCCCGCCTTGTCGTGAAGCGCCCCGCGCCGCCGCCGGCGACAAGCGTGCAGGAGCAGCAGCTGCCGCCCCCCAACCGATGGCGACCGCCGTGGCGTCGCAGCCGCGCCACCTCCCCATCGGCGCCGGCGGAGAGCCCAGGTGCACGGCCAGGTTCGTGGCTCCGCTACGCTCCCGCTTACGCTGTTGTTCGGCGCCCCGATTCGGGTGTTTAGCCGTTCGCTCGTGAGAGGATGGACTGGACGAATGTGTTGGTTGTAGTCGTGGGGTTGATTCAATTGGTCGTAGAATTGCGCGCATGCATCGGCGCGGCGCGGCTGGAGGAACTCTGTGAATGTAGCATTTCGGTGGTCTCAGACACCAGAGCTTCCAGACGGGGAGTACCTTGAAACGGACTTGGGGGGCTTGGCAATTTCAGATGCTCTGCTAGATTTCTGTCTGATTCAGTGAGATTATAATCTCCGAGTGACGTGACTTGATATATATCCTATCGGATTTGCTCTCACTTGTAATTAGGGACTGCTGTCTCTGTCTTAAATAGCAGCTTGCCTTTGACATTGATTTATTGGGCTAGTCGATGGGAGTCCTGCGATTATCAATTGATGATACTAGAAGATAGCCTGTGCATCACTGCAGGAATCGCGAATGAATTTTAGTGGATATTATGATATTGCTGATGTGAACAAATAAATGTTAATGGATGATGTAGCTTGCTGATGTAGATAGCTTGCATGAAGAGATAGGGCCATAATTGCATGCTCTAGTGAGTTGCTGATATGGATGACTTGCATGTTGAGATGGAATTCTAGTGAGGTTTATGATTATAAGTGCCGGGGACCAATACTAGGGTACCCGAAGAGGAGGAGCTAATAGTCATCAACATTGATTCATCCGAGCAGTCAAGAGCGCGACTACAGCTCCAACCGACCCTAGGTGCGCAGGCTCCGCCTCGACCGACCTCTGGCGCGGGCTCCGCCTCCCCCGACCTCAAGGTCGCGATCTTCGTCTCGCCCGACCCCTTGGGTGCGGGCTCCGCCTCACCCGACCCCGAGGGCGCGGTCTCCGTCTCGCCCGACCTCTGGGGGCGGGCTCCACCTCGCCAAATCCCGAGGCCGTGGTCTCCGTCTCGCCTAACCCCTTGGGTGCGGGCTCCGCCTCGCCCGACGGGGACCGCCGCCAACCACTCCAAGTCCAAGCGTATGGGCCTGGGTCAAAACTCTAACACCAAGAGACCGGCACGCTCCGATGTAACCCGTGGCCATGACGGACCATACCTGAGGATTCACATCAAGAACAGCGTCGGACGTGCCGATGCTGTTTTGCCTAACCCTCGTACGACACTGACAAGCGCGTCAGTTCACCACGACGCCCGCCGGGACGGAATGGGACGCCATGACCGGCAGACGACGCCTGCGCATGGCGTCAGTGACGAACAGGGCCGCGACGTGGAGCCGTCCCTGTTGACGTCTACAGGATCGGCAGGACCCGCATGAAGGAGAAGGACCCGGCGGTCCTGGTAGCCTTCTTCTCTCTCTCGTTCTTCTCTTTTCCTCCGCTGTAGCCCGTGCTTTCCCTTGGCTTATAAAAGGGAAAGCAGGACGTCCCATGAAGGGAACCCGATCGATCGACCCATCGAGATCCGCACAAAAGCACGACACGAACACACGGCTGAGTAGCGATCGAGCTCTCAGCACCCACTCACTCCTCCCACCAGAGACTTAGGATCCTTTCCCTCTCTCGTCCGTTTGTAACCCCTGCTACAAATTTTCAGTGCTAGTAACACGAGTAGCAGCGACGAACTGGATGTAGGGACTTTCTGCCCGAACATGTATAAACCTCGTGTCCTCTAAGCACATCATCCGAGCCAGACGCGCAATACTAGAAATTTACTCGTCGGTGGTAACTTGAAACACCGACAATAAGATATATAGAAATATAGAACATAGATATAATTATAGATATAGATATTGATATTAAGAGTTTCTGATCTTGGTATAGCTGAATTCTAGTGCATTTTTTTCAGATTTGATGTATTGATGGTTCAAACGGTTTGTGTTTGCAGCACATCGAAGGTTCATACTCTGGAGAAAGTATATGGTTTCAGATTCGTATGTAGAAGCATTGTTGATGTAAAGAGCTACAAATTCCATTCCCGCATTTCAAAGAGGAAGTGCTACTTGAGGAACTCACCGTCGGAGTGTGATAGGACCATCCACAGTGCTAGATGGTTGGAGTTTCGGAGACACAAGGGACTCTTCCAGAGAACTAGAAGGATGGTTCACATTATTCCGTTGGCTTCTGACGATGATGGCAACCATGTATCTGTTAATGGAGCTCCGCAAGTTGGTTCAACAAGCAACATTGATGAAATAAGGTTGAAATTGAATAAAGCATTGCAGAGTGAAGATATCAGCAATGGACTCGTCCAGTCAGTACATGATGCTGCAAGATCTATTGAGTTGGCTTTCATAGAGCACAGCAAATCGTCAAAGAGCTCGTGGTTTCCAAAGACATGGCTGGGTGTTGAGAACAATGCTTGGATAAAATCACTGTCTTACCAGGTACAGTAGTGAACATTCTGCAGAGTTACATTTGCCCCTATTCAGTATTCACATGAAGAAACAGAACATTTGCAGTCATTGTTATCTCGTCATTCTGATTTTTTTACTATATCAACACAATATTAAAGCCATGAAAAAGGTAAAGATTAGGTTTATAGTGTACCTGAAACGAAACATAAATGTCTCTTGGAATGTTCTTTGTTTAATCACATGTTAAGATGCTGCTACTTATAACCAGCTTAGAGCCAAGCACCATAACTGAACTTGCTTTGAGTCAATGTTTCTTAGTTATACGATATCTTCAACACACTCACTGCTGTTGTGCTCGCCATAGTCCAAAATTCCTGTGAGATACATATTTTCCATTCACTGAAATCTTACAGGAAATGTTTGCAGGCTGCTGTAGACTCATTGTTGCAAGCAGTTATTGATGTTTCATCTCGTGGGAATGGCAGAGATAGAGATATTAATGTGTTTGTTCAACGGAGGTCTACCTTCTAGCCCTTTCCTATGCTGTCATATCATACTGCTTAAATGCTGTTTTGGAGCAGACTCATTTGTTTCTAAGTATATGATATCCCTTGCATTGAAGTTTTCTGGGAGCAACGTCCTATTTTAAAAGTTCCTTTACATCTAAGTTAAATTGTTAAGATAAGATTTAAGTATGCCTTTTGATTTATTGGCTGATTGATCTCAGAAGAGGTTGAATTCTAGTTGGAAATTTACTCTCAGTGAGAAACAAGTTACTGCTGAGGTCTATAGTGCTAAGTTGTAGTTGCATTTTTTGATCCGGAAGTAGTCCAGCAATTTTCAATTAGCAAACTGGCAAACCACATAACTGAAGTATATTAAGAAAAGAGCGTAAAACAATATGTGACTAGGTAGAATGCTATTAAATTATTAACATGAAGGTCTTGGTGCCTTAGTTCTATTCACTTTGGGTACATATAGTTAACCAAAAGAGTTTTTAAATGTCTTTCATGGATTTAACATGCATACTTCTGCCAAAGCTGAAGCATCATGAATAATTTTATATCACGGTGCTAACTAAAATATATGTGTTGTTTTCATAATTCATTTAGGTTTTAGTCGGCAGCTGCATAAATGAAGATGAATCTGTATCATATTGATTGCTTTTACTTGTACGCTAGTATGTTCAAGTGACATTGGATTCATCCTCTCTGTTATGATATGTTCCATTTGTTGGGTGTCTATTCAGTGATGTTTTATTTGATTGCAGTTTGTCCCGCCTGCTCACCCCCCTCGAGAGTGTTATCAAGAATGAATTGTCTAAGAGGGAACCTACATTGTATGAATGGTATTCGTCCGATCAAAATCCTTTGGTGGTGAGACAATTTGTAAACATTTTTGAAAATGATCCAATGTTTAACTCTGCTACAGCAATGTAAGTTCTATTCTATCTTTTGGACTGTAACATGCTCATAGCCAGTAACTAGTAAAAGACTCATGGATATTTTCTCTTGTTTGCTGTCAGATGCCGTGAAGGCGAGCCAATGAATACTAGTGAAAGTGATCTTTCTCTGCTTATGCTAGGTTTGATCTGTCTTGCTGCAATCACAAAGCTTGGATCAGCAAAAGTTTCTTGTCAGCAATTTTCTTCAATGGTGCCTGATATTATTGGTTTATTCATGGATATGCTTCTTGAGTTTGCCCTCTAAGTAAAGCATATAACTTGACAAAAGATATTGGCCTTCAGAGAAATTTTGTATAATTTTGGTCCTCGTGCTGCTGTTCCTAAACTTGGTAATGATCATGGACTTGAGATATCATTTTGGATTGAACTGGTTCAGAAACAATTACTCCGGGCACTTGATCGTGAAAAGATATGGTCAAGACTGACAACAAGTGAAAGTATTGAGGTTGAAACTAAAAGTGATCTTTTCATCTAGTCATAGAAATCTCGTCCTTTGCTTCAAATTTATATAGTTATTTATTCCTCATTGCAGGTTCTGGAAAAGGATCTTGCAATATTTGGTTTTTTCATTGCTTTGGGCAGAAGCACACAAGGATATTTGTCTTCCAAGGGTCTGACTGATTTGGATGATTCACTGAATGGTATTTTAAGGTATGATCTATGCGAATTTATATTTTTCCATTTTCTCACTGAAATGACGTTTCAGTTAATAAGATGATATACCTTCTTTATTACCCAAATATGATTTACTGTACTGAATCATGGGCTTACAATAACCCAGGTATCTTATTGGTGGGAGTGTACTATATTATCCACAGCTGTCCTCGATTAGTTCATATCAACTGTATGTGGAGGTCAGTATGCAGGCAATATACTGAGCTTCTAATGCTACCCAGCATTCAGTGTTCATGTGCCTTTCTTACGTTCAGGTAGTCTGTGAAGAGCTCGAGTGGCTTCCTTTTTACAATGATGATGTTCCAAGTGCAAAAACTGATACTGAAGGTAGAGAAGAAGTGTCTAAAGGAGAAGTCATATCAAGAGTCCTAAATGTGTGCTCTTACTGGATGACTAGTTTTATAAAGTACAGCTCATGGCTTGAGAACCCTTCAAATGTGAAGGCAGCAAAATTCCTTTCTAAGGGGTATGTACTTATTTGGTCACGCAATGCTTATCTTTTTCTTGTTTGCAGATAGGGAATTGTTTTTATGTTTTTTTGAAAAAGCAGATATGGATTTGTGAGTACTGATTAACTGCATGTTAATAATTGTAGACATGCTATGCTGAGTGACTGCATGAAGGAGCTTGACATATCAAGGTAAGCGTTAAGCAGGAGCTTGAATTGTTTGTTCTCTACCACTCAGTAGATTTATTTGTTTGCTAAACATGTTGCAGAAATAATATGTCAAAAGGCTGTGGCTTCCAAGAACCTGAAGAAGAATTGGATACTAGAACAGAGTTAGCTTCCTTTGACAAGGTATTTATTGCGTAATGCCTTTAAGAATTGCTAATATATTTTCACATTTTTGCACATCTGAAAAAATTATGTTCTATACGATTGATATAGGCCCTGTTTGGTACAGCTTATCTGTGAAGCGCTTCCCAGATAAGCTGCACAAATAGAGTAAAAGCGGCGGTCAAAATAAGTTGGTCTGATCCAACTTCTGCTTTTTAGTACAAATGGGAGCTGTGGGAATAAGCGTGGCCAGAATAAGCTGTTGAAAAGCGTGGCGTTTGGCTGTTGATTTGAGCTTATTTTGGCCGTAAGCAGCTTATAAGCTGTACCAAACAGGCCCATAATTCTTAGTATGACCTCAAAGGTATTAATGGTAACTATAAAATGCTGTTTCTTTGTATGTTTCCTATGCCTCCACAACAAATTAGAGAACTAGTATAGCATTGACTCTATGTACCCAGCAAACCTCTAAGAGACAATCTCTTATCTAAGAGATAACATACTTACATACAATCATATGCTCTCCTAGTTTGCTTCACCTAAGATTTTACTGATGTAATAGATGGTCCAGGTGGCACTATTGTACATGCCCTTAGATGTATTGAAAGATCTCATGAGTAAAAGGATGGACAATTGCATATGTGGTGGACAGATATCATTTGCAATTAAATCTATTTTGGATATGCCATCTGCTTATTTCAAGTTTACGATGATAGTTGCCTCTAAAATAGATGCTATCTTCAGTTGTTGAAGCGTTGACGACATCGGTTTTAATCATTGCAGTCACTTGAAAGTGTTGAAGAAGCTTTGGTTAAGTTAGAAAATTTGCTCCAAGAATTACATGTTTCCAGTTCAAACTCTGGTAAGGAGGATCTACAGGCTGCATGCTCTGATCTTGAAATGATAAGAAGACTGAAGAAAGAAGCTGAGTTTCTTGAGGCATCCTTTCGAGCAAAAGCAGAATATCTGGAGGTGAGCCTTTTGGCTTTCTTTTATTTTCACTATCTCTTATCCACACATGTTGCTTCTAATAAAGGATAGCCATGCATTCTTACAATTACAAGTCTTTGATCTCATTGTATTGGGGGGAGTTCCTTTTATGGATTTCCAGTGCACTCCACTTATCATGGTCAGTCCATCAGGATACTGCCAGGCGAGAACAGTTACTTCGATTACTGTAGCGTGAAAGGGTTATAAATAAACACTACGGTCGTAGCGTGAAAGGAATCATCTCTGAGACCACTAGGCGGTTTATACACGCAAGAGTCAGCTCTAGGTATCCTCCGATCACCTGCAACAGGGGAATAAAACCCTGAGTACTTGATTGTACTCAGCAAGACTTACCCGACAGGAGGAAAATAAAAGACTTCAAGGATATGTAAGGCTATCTGGCTTGTGGGTTATTGCATCTACGGAAGCATTACTAAACATGCGTTCTTATATTCCATTTTATTAGTAGTCATCATTAATTCATTAACTAATCATTCTATGTAAGGACCAATGCTACTTTCAAGCAGGTGGTAAGCAATCAAAATCATTTTATCACCTTTCAAGTTCCATTTCTTACTACGGTGCTAGATCACAGCCAAGTCGTACCGTCTTACAGAAACGGCGATTTGCGAATTAATGTATCCCAGCTAGGTACCTCGAAACACACACCCCGCTTGCGCCCCAGGCACAAGCAAGACTAACCCATTCCACTCCTGTCACAGGGTCCAAGTCCCCGTTCAAACTTGGACTCCAAGCCCCGCACTTGAGACCCGGTCTCAGGATGGTGCTTAGACCTTCACCTTTTCCCACCTCCAATCAGTCGGTCCGGAAAGAGCCGGAACCCGCGACAAGAGCGTAACGAGCCTTCCCGCTCCCATAAGTATGTGCTCAGGATAATAAGTCTATGACTTGACTACCATCCACAGCAACAGACGGTCCTCAATCGACACAGGCGGAATAAGTGCAATCCGAGCCTCGCTCGAATGCCTAACCAAGTCCAGATCCAAAGTACCATTTCGCCCGGTTTCCAGTTATCCTCCATATATATTCCATGTGATAGTAATATAATAACTACAATAATATCTTTCATATCTCTCGCAAGTGACAGGTAATCACTCGACTTCTACCGGGTCCTATAGCAGAGCAAGCTACACGATCCTGATATATTAGTAGGAGTGATATATATATATATATATACAAGTGGTTTTTATTCAACTTTTTAAAACTTAATGCACAAGCATAAGATAAAGTGTAAAATAATAGGGGTTATGCGCCGGGTCTTGCCTGGGTAAGATATAACCAAAAGTTAGCATTCCCTCATGGTGACACGATCAACAAGGCACCATCTTTTTCGCTACTTCGGTCATCTCCACGATCCATCGTTGTTCCTATTATGATATACATGGATGCAACGTAGAGACACAATCAATCAATGGTAACTGTAACTCTAAAATACGATTACAGTCCGCAAGCTAACGAGCTAGCTTTAATGACTAACGTACTAGTCTACGTATCCAAGCCGTCAAGTAATGCTTTGCCTCCGGAACAATGTTTTAATTCTAAAATCCCAAGGTGTTTCGGCATTTTATTGACATATATTTTCGAACTAGGGCTCATTTAGCTATCTTAGCAAACTAATTATTATGGAGCTACAAAAATTACAGTGAGCACCTAATAATGTTAGGAATTTACTGTGAAAATTTCAGAACCAACACTATCACCAATTTATCACAAAAATTCCTTCAAGTTTATATCTTAACAATATTAAGCACCTCAAATTAATTAGATCACTTCTAAAAATATTATAAAACTATGTAAACAAAACATACTAGCAGGTAGATCATGATTTTAGAAACTTAACAAAATTCGTTTCACAATTTTTGGTTAACTACACAATTTTATATTGAATTTACAAGTTTACCTTAGAAATTAAATTAGAAAATGCATTAGAAAAAGGAAAGGGCCGGCAGCAACACCTTCTGGCCCGATAGCCATGACATGTCATGATGGCCATCTGACAAGGTCGGGGGCACCCAGCAGCAGCTGCTTTGCTTGAAAAGGCCCCTGAGCTTTCGAGAGATTAATCGACTACTATGTGCACTATTTCTACCATCAAGAATAACTTTACAACTAAACCCTCGGATGTTTTTCGCCTTTACCACGGGAGGTCCTTGGGATCTCACAGTGGCAGCGTGGCGACGACGACCCAAAGCGATTCTGTGGGCAAACTAGGCTCGCTTCTGACGGCATTAAGGGCCGACCACCATCTCTGAATAAACGCGCAATGATGGGCGGCGGTTAGGGACTTCGAGGCGTCTTGTCGCGGGCAATGCGGCGGAGTGGCTATCCATGGCGGCGGCCTTGACTGTTCGGCGCTTATGCGATTAGAAGTGGCGAATAAGCATCAGTGGCTCACCGTGGAATACGCCCTCTCGACGGTTGAAGCGAGGGAGCTTGCGGCGACAGTGCAGCCACGTGCAACCGAAAGCGAAGGCGGTGGCGCTCTCGATGGACACCGGCGCGTCACCCCAAGCACGCGAGCACGATGGCCAAAATAACGCGAGCAACGGATGGAGGGAGTCAAAGCGCGAACTTCGAGTTACGAGCAATTGATCATACCACTCCTACTGTGCCTTACTTAACCCTCTGGTCTCACAGCGGCGCGCATGACCGTGACAAGCAAAATTACGCAATTGGCGGTGCGGCACCACCGCCGACCCGACGAGAGTGGGGCATCTAGCTAACTTCCTCTGTTTCTTACTGATGTGAGGAAATGGGCTGAGAAACCATGGGCTTGGCGAATTTGAAAGGCGGGCGCGGTGCCCAGGCTGAGGCCACGTCGTGGGGAAAAGCATGCGGACGAGCTCGAGGGGTAGGACGTGTTAAAGCGAGGCTCCGGTCAACGGTGGCAGAGCGAGCTCGTGCACACAGGTGACGAGACCAGGCGGCTCGGCGCGACGCGCTTGAATTGGAGCGGCAGGACCCGAGCCGGTCGCACCGGCGTCGGCTAGCGAGGGCAAATGAGGCAGGCAGGCATCCCATCGCCCCTGTGACCGGGCCAACAACCAGACATGGCGACAACGGCATATGCCAAGGGCACGACGCCAGTAGGTGATCTGAGGGTGAGCGGGACGCCATGTCGATCGAAGGCACGGCGAGCGCGACCTCGGCTCGCCCAACAAGACGCAACACAATGATAGAAGCCCATCATGGCACGGTAAAGGCGGGCCAACGCCGAGAGGCGGCTGCGAGGCACCATCCGTGCACACGGCTGATCCGCGGCCGCGACCCGGCCATGGCGTGAGACCGACACCCACAGCGTCCGCGCACGCGGTGACCGTGGATTTAGGCCGAGCGGCTGCGCTCAGCGCCATGCACGTATTTTAAAGCGAAGCAAAGAATGCCGATCATCTCAATCGAAGTCCAACCAATCCTACTATCCTAAAGTCGACACTACCAGCTAGCTAGAGGATTAATCGTCATGACCCGAGAGCAACCAGAGCGGGAGATAAAAGGATGCCAACTTGGGTTCGTCGTTGGAGTGCCGGTTCACGAACAGAGCACCAATCAACATGGTTACAACGCGTTCCAACGAAGTTTGGGCAATTTTTACGAGAGCAACGTGACCTCCAACACAATTTCGACCTATGCCATGCTCAAGCACTCACTTTGGTGCAATCAACGATACCACAACATGCAGCTAGTGTTTAAATATTTTTGTTAGAAATTAAATGTCAAAATAGCATTGTCTTACTACTTTCCATACTTAGAAAAGTTAAGGATTCAATTTAAACTAACAGCCATGAACACTTTTGTTACAACTTTTAAAAGGCCTAAACCCTATTAACTGCTACCAACAAGTATTTCCTGCAATAGTCCATACCTTATACTAACCCATAGGAGCAAAATATTTAAGCACCATTTAACTATTTTGCTCAATATAATTCGCCAAAAATGGTATTCTACATAATAGTTCAAGTGTTTGCCGACTTAACGAAAAGAGCTTATCTTAACGTCAAATTTGATTTTTGAGCTCCCAAAACACTAGTTAACAACATCTATTTTCCAAAAGTTAAAGTTGCTTTTCCATCTACTGAACTTGTACTTCAATTTTTATTTAAGTACTAAATACAAGTTATGTTTGATCCTTGTTCCTAGAAATTGTTTTTCGCCTCACGTGCGCTATAAATTTTAAAAACCCGGAAACTTGTTAAGCTAATCCTTCTCGGACCTAAATCTCGGTGCTAAGTAAGCTCGTAACACCAGGGGTGTTACAATATTTATACCTGGACACACTCTTGATAGGAGAGGTCCACAAGCCACAATGAAGCTGCTCTCGTCGCCCACCTCCACGCCCAGGCTGCGGGTGCCCAAAACATCCGCTCCCTCGTGCCAGTGGTCCTCGATCTCCTGTCCCCCCACTACAACCGATGGCGCGACTTAGTGCTGCTCACTCTCGAGCGGTACGCTCTCACCGACCATGTCCTCTGCACCGTGCCCCGCCCCGCATGTCCTTCTTGGCACCGGATGGATTGCGTTGTGCTGTCTTGGCTGTTTGGCACCCTCATTGTCGAACTCCAGGACACCGTTCGCGAACGCGGTGGCTCAGCACATGACGCTTGGATTGGCATCGAGGAACAATTCCTGGGCAACCGCGAGACTCGCGCTCTCTACCTCGATGCAGAGTTCCGCGCGTTTGTCCAAGGCGACTTGCTCATCCGCGACTACTGCCGCAAGATGAAAGGTATGGCAGATGCTCTAGGCGATCTCGGCGAGGTCATCACTGACCGCACCGTCGTCCTCAATGTCCTTCGTGGTCTCAACGCCAAGTATGACCACATGAAGGCCCTCTTGAAGCGGACCCGTCCGTTCCCGACGTTCAATGAAGTCCGCAATGATCTCCAACTTGAGGAGCTCATGCTGGACCCCCCTGTGTCCCAGCCACCGACGGCTCTCCTCGCCTCGCAGCTGAAGTCCAGCGCCACCAACACCTCCCAGGTGCCGCAACCTGGGGGCCCCTCTCTCCACGGTGCCTCCAATCGGGCTCCTGGCACCGGTCCCAGCCACCACGGTGCTGGTGCCTGTTTTGGTAGCAATGGCGGCAAGCGGCATCGTCGCCGTGGGAACAGCGGCAAAGGTGGCTCCCCTTGGCCCTCCTTCTAGAACCCCTGGACGGGCTCCTTCACCGTGTGGCCCACTCGTGGCCAGCAGCAGCAGCAGCCCCGTGGTCCTCCTCCAGATGGGCACTCTGGTCACCCTGATGTCAACAAACTGGGACGTCGTTGGTACGTGAAGAACCCGAACATCACCAATGGCGACCCGTTCACGAACAAAGGGTCTTCCCACCTCCGTGTTCCAAGATTTTGGCTCCAGTCTTCATATCAGCGAGCCCGCCGATTCGACTGCGGTGGGGGGTAGGGGGGGTAGCATGTTTACTGCTTCCTTTATTACTAGCTGACTGCCTAGGAACCTCCCCTGGCTGTCACCTACTTACTCCCCCTCTTTACTGCTAGTATTTACTTCTCCTTTTGCTGCTAGACGGCTAATGCCTGGGAATCTTCCCTGGCTGTCGCCTGTGTGCTTCCCCCTCTCTCTCTTGTGTTAGTCTAGCTCCTATATAAATCCCTGTAATTTGGTTTACTCAACATGTATGAATACAAGAGCTAGTTGATCCTCTATCAGACAAGACATCCCATAGAAGCCAGCTTTTTAAATCAAAAGCCTAAACAAATGGGCCTAAGTGTAATGTCTAATGCTAAGCAGCGGTCACCATCTGTCTATCCTTCTGGTGGTGTTTTACAGCTTAATGATATCAGATTATTATGTGCTTAATGTACCAGTTGGAAACAGTACATGCCAAACTGCATACTTGGTTGCACTACAGTTGGAACTAGAATTAGTATGCAATCATGGTAAATGTGTTTTTTTTATGGTTTATTAGGCCGATGCACCTGCAGAGGAAGGACGTGTAAATACTGGTAGCAGGACGAACGATACATCAGCACCACAAAAATCAGGAAGCAGGTGGAGTATTCTTGTAACTAATACTAATTAACTAATTCAAACATGGTTGTGATAGCTTATGTGATTTCAGGGTAGTAAAGCAGACCTGTTCAGTTGTTTCCTATTTCTCTTGTCAGGGTGGATAATAAACGCCGTCCATTTTGGGACTTCTTTGGTCGGTCTTTGGGAAAGAAAGTTGATCCAGCTCTTGCAGATCAGGATGTATGGATGCTGTACTGTATATTTGCAGTTTGTTTTGTGCATTAAAGAACACACCAGCATTTTGCGGTGAAGCGATTTCCAAGATGCATCCTTGTTTATTGAACAGTCCTTGACAATGGCTCTAATTAATTACTGAAAAATAATTATGGTCTTCAAAAGAATACCATTTAATTTTATCTCTTAAGATTCTTATTGCAGCGTATTCCTAATCTTATGGTATTATCCCATTTTTATTGCTGATGATGAAGGGCACTTTCGCCAATGTGGAGAAGAAAGATGCGGAGTCAAATGACATCCTCCGCTTTGAACAGTTAAGGCGTGAGCTGATTGAGTTAGAAAAGCGAGTGCAGAAGAGTGCAGATGAAGCTCAAAAGGAGGAGGTATGCTTGTTTAACAGAATCTTGAAATAGCAAATTACTGGTTCTTCAGTATTTGGGCAAACTCTTGGAACAGGACCTCAGCAGTGATTCTGTAAACGTTATGAGATTAATTGCATCTTGTATTGTTAGTTCTGTTGTTTTCTGAGTTATGATTCTTAACCACAATGGTTGGTTTCAATGCATACAATTTTTTTCTTTTTCAAAGAATTATCTATTCAGTCAAGTCCTGTTTTCCAGGAGATGGTTGTCGCAGACGAAACAACTGCACCATCGCCTGGTTCATCAGTTCCTTCCGGTCAGGCTACCAAGAAAGAAAATGTCATAACTAAATCAGTGGAGAAGGTCAAGGAGACTACAACGGTATGACCATCTAAACCTAAGATCCCATAGTAGTAAGAAACACATGCTAGCATATATTTATGAGCTTTGCAAGGTTTTCTTCCTCTGTTGTGGCTGACAATAATGACACTTCAAGGCATGGTATCATTTTGAAAAATTGTAGTAGGGGGTTGAATAATCGAATTAACTTTATCCAAAAGCCTATTTGCCAAACCAAAGGCACTCATCACAATATTGTTAGCTCCATACTTCCATTGTACTAGTTATAAAAAAACTTCTTGTTTCATATTCATATTTTTCTGCACAGACTGTGTTGCAGGGGACACAACTCTTAGCAATTGATACAGGAGCTGCTATGGGTTTGCTAAAAAGAGCTCTTATTGGGGATGAACTAACTCAGAAGGAAAAGCAGGCTCTTCAAAGAACCCTGACGGATTTGGCATCTGTTGTTCCTATAGGAATACTCATGCTTTTGCCAGTGAGTCTTTCTTGTACTTGTATTTCTACTTCTTAAACAAGTAGAGGCTTATTAGGTCCACTTTATCATTTCATTTAATTTGTGTGGAGTAATCCTTTTAACCTTTTACCTTATCCGCGTGGACTGTGGGCTACTAAGACTCATTTTGGTGTTTGAATTGCCATGGCAAAGTATTTTGTTGTGTCCAAGAGTGATATCAATCATATACTCTGACCTGTGAATCTATCGACTGTAAGGTGTGTTTACTGTTGGAGCATTCTGACAATTGCCTTTCTGTCCCAGCTCACCGCTGTTGGTCATGCTGCTATTTTGGCTTTCATCCAGAGATATGTGCCATCGATGGTATGTAGTTTACGTTCACACGCTACTTTCCCCCTGTTGCCATTTGTTATATAATCCTATTTTCTGTATTTGCAATCATGTAGATCCCGTCCACATATGCTCCCGATAGGTTGGATCTCCTTAGGCAGCTTGAGAAGGTGAAGGAAATGGAAGTTGCTGAAGGCAGCAGTGAAGATATATTGGAGGCCGTTGGTTCAAGAACTGAACAAGTGAAATAAGCTGGCCATGTACAGATGGACATGATTATACTGCTTAGCTTACGACCTTTCCTGTAAAGTGTAAGTAACAAATTCACCCCTGGTCTTCTGCATATGGCTGCTGCCTTTTCTTTCTTGTTATATACATGTGTTGCACTCTGTTTAGCTCTAATGCGGAGCAGCTCAACCATAGACATCGTGCATATAAATACCTTGACAACTGAACTGGTCCTTCCATAATTTTGTGCAGATATTTGTTCTTCTAATTAGGAGTATTTGGTTAATATCTTCTCAATCATGTTTGTTTTTGTTTTTTTGTAGTGGTTTGGAACAGGACATTTGAGGGTTTTATTTTGTTTAAAGATTCTTTGAATGACATACCGCTGGAAACAGAACTGCAAGGCCATACGAATAACCAATCATTGGGTAGATAAGGCGAAGAATGATCCTTCCAAATGCTCCACGTCTGTAGGCTGTATCCATACTCCACACAGTATACATGGGCGCATGGTGCCCTCCAACATAGTAGAGGCTGAATGTCTAAGTTCCTCTTGGACAGTGTCTGTGTAGGGTAGTGGTTTTGATAGAGGATTGTATATCTAGTTGATATGTTGTGTTGATGATCACTTTTTCTCATGCAGCCTCCACCGTGAGGGGGAGTAAAACCTTGTAACCTTGTTTTTTAGGAACCAAGGGGAATGCTTCATTCCCTGTACCCAAATGCCAAGTTCAGTGAACTAGTTAATGGCCAAGTTTTAGAGCCTTCATAAATCACACGCTTCAGTGGCGGCTTACGGGCGTTTTTTCTAATAAGCCCGCCCAGGGCATTTGTGACAGGTGAATGCCTCGGTCAAAAGTTCACAAGTAATAAGATGCGACGAGCGCATCAGGAGCATGGGCAACGATGCACTGGAGTGAGCAAGATGTGGAGGTGGACAGTAGTCGTCAGGTCTGAATTCGCTTCAAGTTTGTCTCTTTTATTATCATCCCATCACTCTGTAATCTGTATTGTGTCATTGCGACTGAATTGCCGTCGAGGCCTCTTTGACCGTCGAATGCTTGGACACGTAAATGTTTGAAGATTTTGTCTAGTTACCCTGAAACTACGGCGATGAACCGTGATGCAGAAGCATCACAGGACGACGACTCGACGAGGCTTACACTTCTCTGGTCCAGTCAATGCTGAAACTTGAGCGTCTTAATAATTTGATGATTTGATAGTAGCTCTAGCCCCCCTTGTAGCGCTGATTGAGGGCTTGATGCTTAAGAAAGCTTCAAGATTTCCAAATGAATTTCCAATGTGGTCTCTGACTGAGTTTCCTGTTGGGTCCATCCTGTCACGCTGAAAGCTCAGTAGATAGATGTACACATTTACGCTTATTAACCGTTTGCCAAAAAAATGGTTCGCTATCACTAGAGATAGTACCAGAAAGATGTCCAAAACGAATACATATACCACCATACCGTACAGCTATTTGCATATCATTGGCTAGCATAAAAACCGGTTTCACGATTTAGCTTTACCAAGTCAATCATTTCCTTCGGCAGTTATTTGCAAAGCTTGCTGCACTACTACGGTAACTACCCTTGCCTTTTATAACATACCATACTGAATGGCAGAAACGTGATTACACAAGAGGTGAGGGTGTGAGACACGTTTTTTATATAATATAAGTCAAGAATCAATCAAGAAGATACAAAAGGCAGAAGAAATCTGATAAGTCAAGGACAGAGCAAAATTTCCTTTCCTTTTGAAAGCGAATGGCCCCCATCACCGACCGGCGACCGCATCGTGTCGTAAGGAAGTTTAAAGGTACGCACACATAAAAAGTACTCCGTGCCATCTTATATAAAGTTATTATTATACGTATATATGTAGCTGAAATATCAAATATTATCTCCTATCTCCTACAACTAAAAAGAACAAAACGTGGATATTTTTTTGTGCGACATTTGTTTTGGTTCGTCCGTCCGTCTGCCCACGCCTGCGATCCCGCGGCGCCGGCAGGTGGGACCTCCTCCAAGCTTGCGATCCCGCGAGTACCCAACCCTCGCCCCGACGCCTCTCCGGCCCGCGCCCCCCTCTTGGTGCCCTCGCCCGCGATCGCTCCCCACGTGACTCCTCGGCCTTTGTGTAACCCTAGCCGCCGCCGGTTGACGCGAGGCCTCGTTCCTTCCCAGTGGTCCCGCTCCTCCCTACCGCGCCGCCGCCGCTCGCGCCCCCGGCCGCGCCTCCCCCTTCTTCTCTCTCTCTCCCGACGTGACGGTGCATCGGCTGGGCCCCAGCGTGGCCACCTCGACGCCCTGCGCGTGGCCGGAGCGGCGGCGCCCCCGGTGTGCGGCGCGGCTACCCGGACGGCCCCCCCGGCGGTGGCTGCCTACCGGCACGGCGCAGCGGCAGGGGCGCAGGAGAGGCCCGCCGCTGGCTGTGGCCGCCGCCTCCCCCGCCGCGGCCGGCTCCCGGAGGTCCTCGCTCCTAGCTGTGTGCCTGTGCTGGAGCAAACCCTAGCTGGCGCCATCTTAGAGGCGCGACGAAAACCAGGTGATAGCCTCTCTCCCTTCTTCCTCCTCCCCTTCCCTCGTCGACGCCGGGGATGGCCGTTCATCTGCTCTTGCCACGCCCCTAGGGTAGATCTGTGCTGTTCATGGAGCACGATTTAGCCTTGCCTGCTCCGCCGCTCCATGTCAGGTTGCTGCGCAGCAGACCTCCCCTGTTGGCCTCCACAGCAACGGCGATGGTGGCGACTCTGAAGATTGGGAGGAGAAGTTCTTCCCGACGTCACCAAAATCGAGTATGAGGTCAGGCCATGAACGAAAATAAAAACTCAGGTTCTTCAATTAGATTGAGGCTGTGATGCCGTGGTGACAACCTGCTTTAGTTTGAGGTAGCTAAATTTTTAGCTTTTATTGCCAGCCAAAATTTTCCTGAAATGGTCGTTATTTGGAAAATGCTATCCTATGTGTCAATGGCATGCGGCCCCAGGCCCAAGCATGGGATAGTAATTTCCCAATATGGGTCTTTGCTGTGGTTAGTGTGGTATTGAGTTAACTACAACTTATGTAATGTGCTTAGCATAATTGGCCCAACATAAATAAATAATCCTATTTCATGCTCCTAAAATTATAGTTTGTTTTATACCATCTTCACGCCATTTGGTTGCATGTCCCTTGTCCCTATGTTTTACACCGCTACAAATACATTTGTTAAAGTAGAATAACTAAAGTAGTTGTTCATCGTGGATCCATCTGCATAGCTCTTGTTCTTTGTTGTGCTTTTGACCAGAACTCAAATACTTGAATTTGAATCAAAATTCTTTAAGAATCATTTTCATCTGCCTAGAGTTAAAATGTTCTGCGGATGTGTGGATGAACTTGAGAGCCAACTCTCTAAACACGGAAGCCTTACAAAACTCTACTTTTATCAGCGGCATCTTACCACAGTAAGTTTATATTGTTGTGTGATTCTCATAGTCCTTTAAATCTTTTCTAAGTAGTTAGACTTTTATGCTGATAATAAGTCATTTCTTTTTTCCTAGGACCCACATATCTTTCTGAAATAAAATGTTTGGCCCGGAAGGTCGTCGACAACATTGTTGTGCTTGGCTTGGAGCAGTTTCCAGTTTTCCAGAATGTGCTTCTGCAGTTATTCCTGAACAGGTGTATATTTGAATTCACTATATGATTTCAGTTTGAGCATTATTTTGAGGTTTATAGCATCCTCAAGATTTTTTGCAACATGGCGTTTTGAGGATTAGTAAAATATTATAAGGTGCCACATAAGCTATTAATTTTTGCTCGGCAAGATGGACAGTTGCTATGCTTGATCTGTCGAGCAAGAGGCAAGCCAGTTGCCTATGCCTTGGGATTTGAAGGCTTTGAACTGCCATTCACATAATAATCCTATATGCTCCAACAGTCCACCTCTTACTGTGACATAACAATATGTCCCTAGTCTATTACTCAGATTCCTCCTCTACAGGGTTACATTTCTATTCTGTGTTTGGCATATTAATTAGTGAATCTTTCTTTGTTTCAAATGTAGGTTAATAAAATTTGTAGACATACTATCTCTTATGTGGAGTCCCTTATTGAGTCTATCATGGGTGGATTAGAAGGTTTGATAAATATTCTAGATTCAAAAGGTGCGTGGTAAGCACGTTGTGCTTCTCCTCATGTTAGTGCTCATTTTTAGGTTCGTCTTCACAGCCTGTTACAGTGTTACGCATTGCTTCCGTTTGACCTTGCTTGGTCCTGGCACCTGAAGATTAATTAATTGAGTGACTTTGTGATGTTCAGTTTCCTTACATGCCACAAATGCTAAAAGACATGACAACAATATTAGAAGTATGCAGCTTGAATACATTTTCTCGTATTTAAAATTATTTGATGATACTTAAATTATTGGCTGATATTTTATTTTGCCTTTGTGTTGTCTTAGTTCATCGATCTAAAACCTAGACAGCTTAGGTCGTTGCTTGCCTGCTCATGCTCTTTAGTGAATACTGACATGTTTATAGTTTAAAAATCGAATTTGCAAACAACTGAACAGATTTGCAAACAACTGAACGGATTTGTTATTTGACTTCAAATTGAAAAGTGCGATCTTCCCAAAATAATCACATTTGCTCCGGCAGTGTTTCTTCATGTACCACTTACACCATTTAATTTAAGATTGGGCGTGTTTAGGAAAATAAATAAACCCAGACCCTATATGTTTATCGATGAAACAAACTTCAGTGCAGACATCTGTTTAATTTTTCCAGAAAGAATGGCTTCTGGAACTTGCAGGAAATTAAATTTCAGATGTTTTGGATGTGTTCTTAGTTTCAATAGCAGGTAAAAAGTTTAATGCATCTGAAACATCTTCATAATGTCCCATGCATTCCAGGTCCTCTTTGTATTGGTTGGTCTTCATATATATAGAGTAACAAACTGCATAATTATGTTCGGCATATTTTCAGTTTAGTAGTCTGGCTACATCAAAATAAAACTACCTTGTCCATTGCTAAGACAATCTGCCAATTTTTCCTATGCATGCCATTTACCATTGCTAAGCCATGAATTATTGCATTTAGATGTGCAGCTGCTGCATACAGTATTTATGGTAGATTGCTACGAAATTGAGATACCAGAACGACGAGTTGCCTTTACTGTGCCACACACAAGCGGACGCAGCAAGTGCAATGGTGGCGCAGGACAGCCGAGTGGACAGTGTGGCCGTGTGGCATGCTACCACCAAGCGCATATTGCATCAGGCATGCAAGCGTGCAGACTGCCCTCACTCACCGCACGATCTGACAGCCCAGTGCTCAGTGACAGTACCAAGCAGCAAATAGTAGGAGTTCCAATTCATGGCTGATGCAAGCAAAGAAAGGTAATAATTGTAGCTCCTGTTTTCTCAATTATTATTTTCTTCCTTGTGTGTTTTCAATGATTATGATCAATGGTTTGGTTCAATATTTTTCAAATACCCTTTGTGTTTTAATCATGTTCAGGTAAAAAACTTCTCGCATGTTTCCAAACAGGTTCAGGTAGTGACCACCTGTGCTAATCATTTTTTTGTCTGCATATGTTCCTCCATAAAATTTCTTTTAACTAGCCAACTACATTTATAGCAAACATTTGAAACGTTCGGTGCATTTGCAAGAAATAAAGCTTCTGTGTCTTGCGATGTTATGCCTTCTAACATCAGTTTGATTGGTGCAACACAAAAAGGGAAATGCCAAACATGGATCTGCAAGGTTTGAATTATTAACTGTCCACTTTCCAATTTTTTTTCTTGCTTTACAAGGTTTAAAATATTAACGGTTCAATTTACAATTTAATTTTTCTTCCTTTGCAATGGCAGATGTTGGTCCTGGATCAAATTCTTAGGTTCAGTTTTATTTTCAGCTGTGTCCAGACCATGCAGAATTCATAAATGAATATGGTGTTTTCTTCAAGGCACATACTGCTCTGATCTACCATGTTCTGAATTGTTCCAACAAAGTAAGTGTCACATGAAGTTCCAGGTAGATATATGATGCATGCCAAATAGAAAATAGAAATATATTGCATCCATACCTTAATGTTAATTTATTTGCCAATTTATATTTATGGTTGGCATATGGAGCTAATACTCTCCAGTTTTTTTAGCCGATCAGTGATTTTGGACCATGTTCAGGATATAAATATTATATCATGTTCGTTCTAATGTGCTCAGGTAATCAGATCCATAACTATGCTTTTAATGTAGTGTATGCGTGTTTTTATCTTAGATTTCAATCAAATGAATTTTATCACTGTTCTTTTCCTTATGGTCCACCAGTAAATTTATTTCTTATCAGAGTCGTGAGGTTCAGCGTTCAGCAACATGCTCCACGCTAACGGAAAAAAAAATACTTACTACATACGGAAATCTAAGTGAATCAATCCCTCTTCCTATTTTAGAATGCTTAATTTTAAGATCACGGAGTATTGTTATATGAAACTTCAACAAGACAGCAGTTGGCCATGTTGCTCCTTTAGTTTTGCATCTGATCATATTTGATCTTTAAACTAATTTTGAATAGTTATGCCGCTATATGTAGTTGCAGATAAGTTTTAGTTATAGGCTTCCTGAGTACTCCAAATAGATAGATGATCCTAGGCATCAAAGACCCGAAAACATGGATTTTTATATTTTGATAATTCCTCTTATTTTTTCTGGAAGATTTGTTATTTGGAATAATGATACGTGATTTATACATATTAGTTCCCGCATTTAAACTAAAACATATATTCTAACCTCCGTCGTCAGCGCCACCACCGACGTCGGGCGGCACGCTTCGCGACGGCCTCATCCCCACCGCTAGAAGCCGCTAGCTCTCGTCACCGCCTCCCGTACGCCGCGCATTTGTAGCGCCCGTTGCCGGCCGTCACCACCACCACCAGTAAGTTGCGCATCTCGCTCCTCTCCCCTTCCATATCATCTTCCTCCTGCTTCGCCAGCCCTGACATGCTCGCCCCATAGCGCCTGTCGCAACCAGCCGTCACGGTCGCCTGCCCTCCACTCTATGGATCTTGGGGCGCCGCCTCGACCTGGCCGCCCACCAAGGGATCGCGTAGGAGTCCGTGGACTCGTCGGTGACTACGGTCGCCGCCGGGAAGGTTGCTGTCGACTGCTCCCTACAAGCCGCTAGCGCCCGGTCCCCTCCAAGCTGCCGCCGTCCGCAAGAGTTCCGCGCCGACTCCTCCATCTCTAGGCAGTGACGGTGATGCACGTCTTCCTCTCCCTCCCTCTCAAATCTGTAGGCCTTGGCTACATCCTCGATCTAAATAATGTATTTTGGTTTGATTGAATAGCCTCTACCAGTAGATAGGCCTATCACTGTGTGTTCTTAATCTACAAAGCTAGAGTTTACACACAAGGAATAAGACTTTGTTGTTTTATTAATTAGATTGCGAACAAATAATAAAGCTACAAAGAAATGATTTTTTTAGATAGCGTAAATTCAGAACATATTATGGGCATATCTTTTGTTCTTATATGTACACCTGAATTGTTGGATTCTGGGCATTGGTCCAATTATTATTTTATTTTCTTTGTGCATTGCCAGGTAGATTTTTCTGTAGAAAACCTGTACTGATATTTTGGTGTATGCTGATTTCCGAGGGTTAGCCTTTTTTTAGCTTGTATATTTGGTATCCTGAATTTATAGATGCAATCTGTTTACTATATTTCTTTGGCATGACATAAAAGATGTATTTATTTTATCTCTGCACTGTAAAATGTCTGTGGATTGATCTTTGTTTATTTTTGAACAATCTGGTGTAGGCAGGTAAGGAAAAGAATGATGATTTCTCACTGAAGTTAAATCTTGAAAAACAGGGAATGCAAGAACTTTTCTGCAGGTAATAAACTGAACTTTCTTTGACATATTACCATTTGCATATTTGTTAGTTTGGAAGGTTAACTTTCTTTGACATATTACCATTTGCAGGGCCTTGGAGCAATAGCTATCAAACTCATACAGTTTGTTCAAACATACGGTGTATCCTGTGATAATTTAAATAGACCATTTCGTTCAATACTGTTGATCAGCATGTAGTTTAATTTCAGACAAGCACGACCACTAGCGGCTCAACAAAACTGCTTTAGTTTGTTTTAGTTCTTAAGACAATTCAATTTTCAATTCTGGTATTTTTTTTATTTTCTAACTTGTTGGAGCTATGGACCTTGCGGATGTAATTTGTCTATTGCATATGAAACTTGGTGGATATAATTTGTAATCCATTTATTTAGGCATTGCTATCAGTAGGGGTGAAAACGGTACGGATATTTTTCGACCGTATCCGAGACCGAATCCGTTTAGAGTGTTTAGATCTATCCGTATCCGAGTCCGGATATTCAACATTGGTATTTATTGGCGCACGAAAGAAATGAAAATCGGAAATTTCTTTCGACCAATATAAAACATTATCTTAGCCATATCACGGAAAAGATCTATAAAGTAGAGTTTGTGAGCCTGCGACGCCGCGTTCTCTGTGACTTGTGTTAATTTCACACACTTTGTTTTTTTTGGATTAAGTGTCACTTTAATATTGATATTTAATTTTTATAGTATTGTTATCTTATCGTGCGATCCGTGTGTTTTCGTAGCAACGCATGGGCACGCTAACTAGTCTCTTAGAGAATCGAAGTATTGGTGGTTATATTGAGAAAAAATAAGTCAGTGATCATCGAGCCCTGCACGACATGACCCAATCAAAGATTCATCAAATAAGCATGAGCGACAATTAGGCATGCACGCGGTAGCCAAGAGATTTCGGGAGGCTACCAGACTACTTGCGTCACGGAATGGCCTGGCAAATCTGTCCCTATTTATCGCAAAGTTATATGGATTCATTTCCAACCTCGAAAGAGAAGTACCAAAATTAAGTGTGAGGAGGCCATTAGCAATTGCAATTGCGATTGCTTTAAGGAGGAGAGAGGCAGTTTCTATTTTTGGCACAAAAGGTGAATTTGATTTTGGAAAATACTTGTCGAGAAAAGAGACTTTTTTTTTGTGCACCGCTGGATGCGGATCCGACGAGCAAGATCGTCTCACAGTCACAGTCACAGTCCACCGACATCGCGCCATCAATTGCTATGGTAATTAACCTGCCATTGTTGTGGTGTAAACCTTCATTTTATTTGTTCCTGCCGCGTCTCCTTTTTCATATATCTATAAAAATCGCTTGGCCGTGCACCGTCCGTCCCCCACATTTGCCAAGGAGAGAGAGACCAAACCCCACACCACCTTTAACCCCAAACCCTAGCGCACTCGCCGCCAACCCCACCGCCCACCGTCTCCTGATCCAATGGCGCGCCTCCACCTCGTGGCCGTGGCAATGGCCATGCTCTTGTCCGTCGCGACGGCGCAGGCACCAGGCGCGTCCCCGACGCTGGCGCCCAGGGCGCAGCCTCCGGCGACCCCGCCGCCGCCGCCGTCGCCTCCTCGTGGGGCGCCGGCGCCAGCCCCGGCGTCTCCCCCCGCGACGCCTCCCCCGGCCTCCGCTCCCGCGTCCTCTCCGACGCAGAAGCCCGCCCCGGCCCCGGCGCCGGCGCCCAAGGCCACGGCACCCGCCCCGGAGATCCCCGCCTCGCCGCCGGCGCCGAGCTCGATCGGGCAGACGCCGACGGAGGCCCCGACCTCCCCTCCGCCGCCCAGCGCCGCGTCCAGCGTCTCCCCCGCCTTGTTCCTGGTCGCCGCTGTGGCGGTCGGCGTGTTTTTCTTCTGAGGTCGGTCGGTCGGTCGGTCGGGCGGCCGGCCGGTTGGTCGGCGCCGGTGGATCCGCCGCCTGTGGTGTGAGTATGACACGATGGCTCTCGCTGCTGCTATTTGTTCGCCGCGCCGTCGTTGCATTCGGGTTTATTACTAGCATACTACCTGCTCCTAGTAATACTATAGTTGGGTTCGTGAGATCAGATCTAGCGTTTGTGCGTGCGTGGTGAGTGTGATAGAGATTGATGAGTTGAGAGACAGTTGCTATCTGGGTTGGGATGCCATTGTATAATCCCCCGCGTTTTTAGCGTATTCTTTGTTTGTTCTACATACAACAGATCTGCTCACTAGGAGAGTACGTATTATTTATCTTATTAGATAGGAGTTATTGTTAATAGCCTGTTTTCCATCAGATCCGGTGCTCTGTCGTATGTTACCTTCTCCGTTCTTCTTTTTCTTCCCCCGTCGTACTTGTGAGATGTCAGTCGTCAGTGGCGTCTTGCTCTCACTTTTCCTTTTTCCATGTTCGTTCGTACTATACTCGTAATGGTGACTCTCGAGATGGAGGTGATAGGTTTGGCCAGCTGGGGAGCACCACCACCATACCATGGTCTCCAATCCTCCATAGTAGGGTAGGAGAAGTCCGGTGAAGCGTCTGGACTCAGTGCACGACTCAAGTGACAAGTGGAACCACACCACACACGTCAAAGGGGAGGAAGTGGACGTGCGAAGCGACCATCGGCCGTCGCTTAGTGCGCCGCCGACGACAGGGACAGCAGGCGAAGTTAGGAACCATTGTTGATTGTTTGATTTGATGCTCAAGAGGGAAGGGACGTGGGCCAGTCAGCCAACAGTGTTTTCCTCTCACAATAAACCAGCATTAGCCAACCCAGACCAGCCCAGAAACCAATCAACGAACAGGCCGTTAATTGAATAAGGTTCAGTTAAGGCCAATTAAATTCAACAGCATAGCTACCTCTCACATAAGAGCAAGGCTAATAAGCATATTTACAGTCTTCTCTCAGTCCACACATATAATAGTTAGTTCTTCACTATTAATACATGTCTTATTTGTTTCTCTCATAAAGTTTCTCGGTTCTTGTGGCTAAGCTGACTGTAAGTTTACAACCTGCTTCTCTTCTCTCTCCTCTCCTCTTTTCTCCACTTCAGCATTCAGTCGACTTATAGCTTGCTATTATACTAAATCGCAAAATCTAACACGGGACCGACGCTCGTTGGCGTGATGGCGCGATCGCCTCTCCCTTTTCCTCTCCAACGCGACGCGACCCCACGCTCCCTCTCCCATGCGACCCTGTGCCCCCTTTCCTTCTCCCCTGCAACCACGCCCTCGTCGGAGAAGGAGGCGCTAGGGTTTCGGCGAGCCGTCTTCTTCTTGCCCAACTTTGACAGGCCTAGTAGTGGGCGGTTAGGGCCCTGGCGGTGGCAGAGGCGGCCGAGCCAGGGCGGGGGCGGGCGGTGGGCGGTGTGGCCGGCTGTGAGGGAGGAGGCGGGGGTGGGGGAGGAAGGGTGCACGACATGGGGAGGGAGAAGACTGAGGCCGGGGTTGTGCTCGCGGTCCGCACGAGGTGTTGTGTGTTAACAGTGTCCCACATAATTGGCACACGTAATTTCAGGCTTATGTCCCATTACAAAGCACGGACATAATATTAGCTAGTGAAATTACAATTCCGGTAAGCACGTTCAGTCCAACGTGTGACACGTGGTGAGTTTGTCGGAGGACATATACCCCATGAGACAAACATCGGCAAGAGGTGCAAGGCTTGCATTTGACCCAGTCTTTACATGAAAGTCCTTGCTGGATCATATTTGGGCCCATTATGTTCTTGCAGTAGCGGATATTCCTTGTACACACCACACGCACTACATTCAACTCTATTACGCTGGGAGTCCTTTTTACGGTTTTACCTGAAAGTTTATTCCTACCCCCCCTGCTCAAGTCTTGAAGCACCATTGTTGTCAATAAAAAAAAAAGTCTTAAACCACCACCGTACCAGAGATGTGAAGCAAACCCAAATCAAAGACGCTTTTGCTTTGATATTCACTAGCAAACGTGCCGTGCGTTGCAACGGAGTTTACAGTTTGTTGCGTGGTTACTCAAATGATTTATAACCCGATGATTTATTAAACGATCATGACATGTTTTAATTCATTTTGCAATAATCAAACTCCTTTCGATGATCGGAGGAAAGAGGATTAGAGATTTATATTTTATGATCACAACATGCGTTTCAATTCATCTTGAGAACAAACTTCATGCCGTATCTGGAAGGATTATTAGAAAGAAACTCTACTTTAATTTAATTTAAGTATATAAACAAATAGATAGCAAATATGGTAGTATTATGTTCTGCTTGTAACTTTTCATTATCCATACCAGCAGTCCAGCGCCTCTCGGCTTCCAGCGTATGGCGGCACCCCAAACCACATGACGCACTCCGCCGATGCAGCACTCATCTCTGTCCCAACAAGTAAACCGCTCGAAGCAGCAGACCCACAATCGTCGTAGCCTGGTAGTGGTACGTTGCCCCAGTGCATCACGATCATCACCAGCATCGTCGGGCAGTTCTTGGCTTTGGTCTTCAAAAACTGCTGGCTCCCATATGCCCCGAACGTTCTCCTGACTTGCCAATCGAAACCGACGAGGAGGAGCCGCCGTCAAAAGAGCTTCTTGGTTTCGCTGGCAAAAAGTTGCTGCTGTTGTAAGCAGAGATGCTGATGCTGCTCGTCTTCGATGAGTAGTGATCTTCTCCTCGGCCTCTCATGCTGTGGTGCTGCAGCTCCTCCTTAAAGCTTTTCGCTGCCGCCATACGGCTCTCAGTCGCCGGGTGGTAAACCGTGGACGAGGAACGGAGGCGGCGCCGGTGGTGAGGAGGAGATGGAAGAGACCTATACGGACTACTCCTCTTGGCCTTGGTGTAGTACTCCTCTTCGCTTGCCTTGGCCAGCCTCTTGGGGGACGGCAAGGGGCTCGGCGACGCGGGTCGGCACGTGTCCAGCCTTCCGTACCGCGACTGCCACGAGATCGGCGAAGGGAGCACGGTCGCGGCCGCAACCGGCTGCCGAGTCATGAGAGCTCCGACACGGCCGCGCACGCGGCGTCTCGACAGCCCCCGCGCTGGCGTCCTGTGCCAGCTGCCTATGCGTCCACGACCTGCCCGATCCGAACCATGCCGCCTCTAGTAGACACGATGACGACGGGCTCCACGGGCCGGTGCAGCGTCATCATCGTCGTCGACACGGAATTTCGATCTGTGTTTCGTTGTTATGTTCTTCGCTCATCAGGACGTTTCGTTTTATCTGGCCGATTTCTCCTTTTCCTTCCTTTTTACGTCCATATATACGTATTCTACCTGAACTCTGCCGTATGCGGTGCTTGTGTAGCTTGCCTAGATTACGTTGCTCCAGCATGGGAAAGACAGGGATAGGTAGAAATAAAATTGAGGAGAGGCTGATGCACGGAAGATGTAATAGACAAAATTCCAATATGAGTTTCATACGGAGTCTAGTGCCAGCGCTAGTCTGTGCAAGTACATGTGCATGCGTGATGAATTCGGATCGAAGTATAAAAAACATGTCTGTCATCATAGGGGAAAAAATAGAGTGAAACTATTGCTATTTGGGGATCGAACCTATTTCTTCTATTTTGATTAGGATTAGAATTCATATCCAATTTACTTGGAATCGGACAGATATATTTGGATTAGGATTCTTAACTATTCAGATACCTCAAGAACATATATTGAAGCCGTGCATATATCAGGAGGGCTATATAGGTAGACAAATAGACATGGTTTCCGTGTTCATAGAGTTAGCTAGGGGAGGTGGAAAAAAAATAGGCTAAAATTTTACTTTTTATTATTATTAGGATATTCACTTGCTTTGCTCGGTTGGTTCAGAGGGTGGCACGTACGTATCACGCAAACCGTCGGATGATGGATCGGAGCAGGTAAGGTGTTGACACGAGAAGAGAGCTCAAGTACCGTCATCACTAGTCAGCTACGGCCTTCTTTAGATGGTAAATTTTTGCAATCTGGACACCGTAGCACGTTTCGTTTGTATTTGACAAACTTTGTCCTATCATGGACTAACTAGGCTCAAAAGATTCGTCTCGTGATTTACAACCAAATTGTGTAATTAGTTATTTTTTTACCTATATTTAATACTCCATGCATGCGTCCAAAAATTGATGTGATAGAGAGAGAGTGAAAAAACTTGGAATTTTGAGACAATCTAAACAAGGCCTAAGTACGAAGGCGGTGAGGCTCTCATGTCTCATCGCTCGCTGCTGACTTGGTTGGGCCTCTTGCTTTCGAGCCGTTTTTTACCCTGTTCGCTTGTTGGTTTAGTTAGGGCTTATCAGTCAATCAACAGTATTTTTTTCTCACAATAAACCAACACCTGTTAGACTTATCAGCCCAGAAATCAACCAACAAACATGTGGTTTGGCTCCGTCCTTATGGAATGAAGGATGTTTATTTCGCGTAACACATGTTTGGAAGATGCTATAGAGCTCTGTGAACATTCAACAAACCAATAAGTCACTGTCATGAGCCATCGTTTTTCCGTGGATTATACTACCGTAGCATCTTTTCCTCGATCGACGTACCTTGGCATTGGGTCGTCTAGTCCCATCCTTGTTGCATACCTAACCCAACTGCCCAGAATCACTGACGACGTCTCTTCCCTCGGAAGGCCGCCGTCCCTCAAACCAAAAGTCGTCTATCACCTAACAATGCTTTGCTCAGCATGACCAATCCGTTAGCTTCTTTCAGATCAAATCTTTTAATTAGATAGATACTGGATAATAGTAGTATTGTTTTGCATGCGCTTGTTTAGTCAGCTTCAGTCTTAGGCTTCTAGAAGGAAAGGAAAACCTTTATTTGAAACACAAGTTTTTTTTTGTGCATGTATTTGAAGCACAAGCTGAGAATACCCCCAGACATGTGGAACCCAAGTTTCTTTACTTATTTATTTTGGATTTTGGATAAAAGACCACTCCGGCGGAAAAAGTTGGGCATTTTCAGAGATGCATGGACCAATTGGCAATTGGCACCGCAATAGTACATACTTTAACGTATTATTAGACACCATACATGATTATATATCAATAAGCAACAAACTGTAATAAGAATGATTATATATGTCACAGCAAATAAAATCATCATATACAAAAATATGTCCACATATATATATATATATATATATATATATATATATAGAGAGAGAGAGAGAGAGAGAGAGAGAGAGAGAGAGAGAGAGAGAGAGACGGAGAAGAGAAATGATAAGACACCAACAATAAAGAAAGCATCAATGATACAGTAGTACATCACGAAACCAGCAAATATAAGCGGTGTTAGCTAGCTACCGTACGTGTGGAAAATTAAATCGGATCCGGCCGTCAGACTGAAAACGCTCGCTCATCAAGAAGAAGAAGAATCCTGCACTGCCTCTACCCTCGCAAGACGATCAGGATGGTACGGTGCGTGCATGATCAGAAGAGGGCGAGCTTGACAAGCACGGCGGCGGCCACAGCGAGCGCGGGGCCGGCCGTGAGGCGCACGGACGCGCTGCCCGGGGTGCCACTGCCAGGGGCGGGGGCGCTGGGGGTGGTGGGTGCGCTGGGGCTGGGCGAGCCGCCGGGGGTGGTGGGGGGCGTCGAGGGGGAGGAGCCGGAGCCGACGGTGACAGCGAGCTTCATGCCGGAGCCGCAGTGGCCGGTGAAGCCGCAGATGTAGTAGTAGGTGCCAGTGCCAGAGGTGAGGGTGACGGTGGCCGGGCCGTTTTGGATGGTGTTGGCGGCGTTGCTGGTGGAGCAGCCGTCGTATCCGCTCTTGTCCACCTCCACCACGTCGTGGGCACCGGTGGCAAAGTTGAACACTGCATCCACGCATGCATGCAATTTCATTAATTCATCATAACTAAAGTAACAAAAGAAAATTAAAAGATGCATGCATGGTGGTGATCGAGGATCGGACGACGCACGCACCTAGCGTGTCTCCAGGCGCGAAGGTCTTGCCACTGGCCCAGGTGGTGTAGTTGACGCTGCCAACAGTCCACCCGCTACTGTCGCCGACGATGAACGTGGCCGCCGAGGCCGCCGCGACGGAGCTCACAACGACGAGCAGCACGATCAGAGCGGAACGGGACGCCATGGCGCTGAGCGAGGTTACGTACGTTGGAGCGGCGAGCTGCTTTGCTTTGCTTTGCTTGTGGACGACACGTACGATCGAGCTAGGCAGCACAGGTATGTAGTAGCTTTATCGATGGATGTCGATGGTGGATGAGATGAGATGATGACTGGCCGGGTTGCACGATGGCTCCCTTTTATAGAGCGAGCAATCAAGCATTAAGCCAGCTGCTTATTATTCATGGGATGGGAAGAAAGACGCGGCGGGGGCTGCGGGTGCAGAGGAAAAGGGAGAGGGAGTCGTTGGTCCAAGCTTGGCCGCTTCTTCCTTTCCTTTGGGTTCAACTTTTCCTTGTGTTCTCTTCTGCACCTGCACCGCACCACCAATATAATCAATCGCCGCATGCAGCCCGCAGGTGTGTCGTGTGTGTGAAAATACTTGGCGTTGAATATGTATGCACCACCACACTCGTTCAAACATTTATTTCTTGTCGATCCATTGATCTTCTTCATGTTATTATTAGTATTTTATTTCCATGCAAAATTATTAAGAATGTAAGATGATCTCATGCATGCTCCATATCCCTCCCTTGAAATTGGGCATTGGAATTAGAATTGTATATGCTGCTGGTTCGCCGGAGCTAGCAACTACCAACTGAAAAAAAAAGTGGTTTAATTTTCTGCGCAGGAATATGTCGCTATCTCCTTCTCTGCTTCTTCCTCTCTTCTTCCGTTCCCCGAATGCGAATGGTTCCATCATGTATGGTAGCTGTGGGTCGTCGTGAATGATCGTTATCATCGGTCATTGCTTTGCATGCATTTCCGGCCATACATGAAGATTGATTCAACTAATTTGTTTACACTGAGTCGTCACTTGCTCCCTCTCTTTTGTAATTTTCTTTCTTTATTTCACTCATTCATGGTCCAATGCTCCTAGACGGTTACAAGTACTAGCTAGGCCTTTGTGCATTTTGTCAATGGACACGCAGCACCAGATTAATTGAACGGAAGACGCGTCGATTAAATAAATTAAGAAAGATAGATTGAGCAGCACTAGATGATGGAGTGGTTAGGAGAAGCGATGCCAAAGCTTCATGGCACTATTTATTTGTATTATTTGTATAGCCGCCACAGTAGTGGTACAGCATCTACCTCCTCTCACCACAAGAAGCAGCAGTGCGGGCTGATCGATACACCATTATATTTGCCAAAAGGCTACTGATGTTATAATCAGGCAAATTTTGTTCACAAACACCATTCAATCGTGTAATTTGTTGATGCACACCCATCTTTGGAATTTGCTCAGTACCATTTTGGGAGAGAAGGGGTGTGAAAGGTGAATTTCGCCCTCCACTCTATCTATCTACTTCTTCCACTCCCCATCATCCCCTTTCCCGTCACCAAACACCTTGGTATAGTCCAGCGGTTGGGCCCTTGAACGTCACCAAAAAACGCGGCTACCTACCAATTACTAGGGATGATGACGTTTAGGGGTGCTGGAGTGAGCGGGGATGGGGGGTGAGGCAGCTACTGCTTCCACCGCCAGGGATGATGACGTGGTAGCGAGGGCTAGATGGGGAAGCGGTTGTGACGCCTGTGCCAGCGGCGCCGACGAGTATGAAGAAGCAAACGAGGCCTCTCTAGATCCTAGGGAGAGAAGGGTGGAGTCGGGAGCTAGGAAGAAGACAATCGCTAGGGCAATATGGTCTATTCACTGGCCTTTCTTTCCCCTGGATCGTGAAAATAAATAATTTAACGACTGCAATATCCAGTGATAAAGTGATTTTATAATAGTATTAGGTAAATTTTAAAATTAGCGGTGTGCATCGACAAATTATATGATTAAGCGGTATCCATTTGCCTTACAATTACAATCGAGGCAAATAAAAGCTTCCCGGCCGGCTGGAGGTCGAAGAAGAATAAACCATTGATTTGATGTCT